CCGCGTGGAACCGCCGCAGCTGTTGCGATACGGATGGCGGAGGTCAGCAGTCGTTCTCTCTTGTGAACGCTCTGTTTCTCTTTAAGGCGTTTACTGCACTGTGCGTTCGTCAGTTGACGAAAGCGAGACCATTTCGCCTTCTTCCATGCATAAATGGGTGCACGAGGGCGAGGGAACCGCAGTGGTTCGTCATCATCTCCTACTGCTACGTCGAAGAGGATGATGTAATGGTCGCTGTCCGGGGAGAAGGATGCCGTCCATGACTCTAGGCGGCATTCTCGGGACAGTGTCACATCTGGCGCGGACGGACCATGGCGTGTGGTGTGGCGAGTGCATTCTCCAGTGTTATGAATAACATGTATACATCAAAAGTAATACTCTAAGAAACAACAACAGCAAGAACACCACAATAAATGCAATATCAAGGACTACACGCATTAACAAGAGCAGAAGCACCTACTGTAGTCAAATCCAATCATAACAGCTAAAGGATGTAAACAGTGGTAATGTTCGCCATAATGTCATTCTCAGTGTGTCTATCGCATAGAATCCTTGAGAGACCTGGGGAAAATAAAGAAAAACAAAAAAAGGGAAAAGAAGCAACACATACAATAAACAATACAGCAAAAACATCATCAGCACTGAAGTAACTACAGAAAAACATAAACACATAAACCTTCTTCCTCAGAACATTTTTCATTCAATAAAAAAAAAGCCCACTAACAAAAAAAAATCCCCAAAAAGGAGCCCATCAGCACAAAAAAAAGCCCAATAATAAAAAGGAGCCCAAGTTCATGTTGATTCTTCATCCGACACTGTCATCGTTCTCTCACCATATATTTGCACTCCATTGTATATGACAACAAACAGTGGGATTCTGCAAAATGTATATTTGATAATAATTCATTTTCAGAAAATGAATATAAAATCACAGCAATAAATCATTAACAATTAAAAGAAATTTTCCAATGCAGCGAAGAACGCTGAAAAAAAAAGAACGGTCAATGTATTGCAGTTTATGGGATTTAATTCAAAGGACCGTATTAAGCAAAAGTGTTTATTATTCTGAATATGAATGGATCTCTCATGGAACCATCATAAAACCAACAACACACACAAGAAGTGCAAGAGGGGCCATGTAGGACACCATGATGCTGCTGTCAGGACCCAACATACCCGTTACATTTGTATGTTTTAGTGTTTCTTCTTTTATTTGGTCCTCAGTTAAGTTTGTCCCATTCAAAACACCGTTATTTGCTTTGTGTGGGGACTGTATTGTGCTTTCATTGCCATTGGAATTAGCTGCCGATGAAAAAGTAGTAGCAGTATCATGGCGATTTCTTTGTGTAGACTCTTCTCCGTGAGTATTATTTTGGACGTCGGTGGAATCATCCGTTTGTGCTTTTGCTTCGGTTGGTGATTGAACTTTGTTTTCTGTTTGGTTTGGTACTTGCTGGTGGTCTTGAGCTTCGGCTGGTGTTTCGTTTTCATTTTGTTTATCATTGTTTTGAGCTGGTTGATCTGCAGGCTGTTGCGAGATTTCACGTGTAACGGTGTTTGCAGGATCAATAGTGGCGGAACCAGCAGCAGCAGGAGGAGAACTTAAACTCTGGCCGGATGGAACATCAACACGAGTAGATGCACTTTCACGTGCTTGCCCCATATTCTGATCTTCATTGCTGCCGTTATCATTGTTATTACCACCACTTCCAGTGTTGCTCCCGGGAGTCACAGAAGACGAACCGGTGTGCTCAGCATTTTCACTTTCCGGGTGTTTCAACGAAAGCGTTTGGGATTTAATCTCTTTCTCGACTTCCTGAACTTCTTGCTGGGGGTTTGGATGTTGTTGTCCCTCGGGTTGTGCAGAGGGTCGTGCATCGGGTGCGCTACTTCCCTGATTGGCAACAGCTGAAGCTCCAGCCGTGCGGACGGTGTTCTGAGCCTGTGCTGGTTCTTCATTTTCATCATCATCTTTCACATCAACGTAGCTCTCAGTAATTTTTGTGCCATTGTAAAACTTAATTTTGGTGGGTTCAGTTTTCGGCAACCCTGTACAGACTTCTTTGAAATTGGGACATTTAACACTTCCTTTATTGAACAAAGAATCCTCCAATGGGATTGATTCGCCATCGTTTTCGCACTTATACCAGTTCAGCTCCTTGTTATCATGACCTTTGAGCTGTACACTCACCTTCTTGTTATCATTATCACATTTCACGTTCGCACAAACGGCTTGAACTTTCACATCATCTTTATTGTCCTTCAATATCGGTGTTTCCAAATTCAGACAACGTGACATACTGCTCACAATGCTGCCAGGCATCAGTTCCTCCTCACCACCCTCACAGGCAGTGCCGTTCAAGGGTCTGATGAATGGAACACCATCCATCAAGTCATTCGCATCCTTCGTTGTGTCTTCGTCCTTAAAATATTGGTATCTCCCACTTAACTTATTACGGTTGTCCTTCGTTGAGCAAATACCAAGTGCAAAACGGTCAGAGGTGCACTGTAGGGTCACCTTCGTATCGTCCTTGCAGAACATATCGGGGTAGTTAGTTAGTTGTAGATCCTTTATACCTTTGAACAAGTCACATATATATTGTTTCCCCCAACTCATCGGTTCTGCCATGCTGAAATTTGCGCTGTAGAAGGGCATGGAATGAAATGCTGCAAGTGTCAGATTAGTGTAGTACATACCAGTAACGCCCATACTATTACTGTACGTACTCATCAACTCATCCTTCGCAATACGCCTCTCCCAGTGGGAGGGTGTCGGGCTTTCTGCTTCATTTTCCAAGTACAAACCCTCTATTTCACCACTATCACAGTTTAAGTGTTCTTTCAGTTTGTCAACAGCGTTTTTCAATTCCACCATATAGAGCTGTTTTCCAGCGCCCAATCCTCCTGTAGGTTGTTGATAGCTGTATTTAGTTTTTATCATTCCCAGCCTGTCCATAAACTTATATTCAAATCCAAGGCCATGTGCAATCTCATGTGCAGTCAAGCGAATAAACTGTCGTGTTGCTTTTATCTCTTTCACGTCGAATTTGATGACAGCAGACGTTGGTCTCCCTTGGTTATCTTTACTGCAAATTGCAAAGTCTCTGTTATCGACTGAGAGACTGACAAAAATCATAAAGTCGACATCAGGGATCTCATGTAGATTATCCAAAAGATCACCAAAGATATGGCAGTCATCTACATTCGTTTTTTCGCTTGCTGACTTTTTGTTTTCCCCCAGACGTTTCACTTTAAGACGATCTGCATGCAGTTTGATGGCTTTAGGCAAGACTTTGTTCAAAAGAATTTCTTTCTTTTCTGCCATTATCATCTTATTATTATCATCATTAATGCATGAAAGCAGAATCTCTTCAAATTCTTCTTCAAGCTCTTCGTCTTCTAAATGTTCCAGCTTTTTTATTCTTTCGCAGAGCTTCACCACATCTTCCACAATTTTTGTATTCACAGAAATGCGAATGGGCTTCCAATCCTCGCCATTCTTATCATCACTAGCAGGAACAGAGACGGTGTATGCCTGTAGAGCACTTTCTCCTTTTTGTGGTAACTGCTGTACAACAGCAGCCAAACACCCGCAGCTGCAGTACAACAGGAACAGTGCAGNAGAGTTTCAGAGGAATTCATATAGAATTCTTCTCCACCGTGTTTACCTCCTGTAGATGAGAGACCATTTTTGCGGGGTTCTATCATTCCCTGTGTCTCCATAACTTCATAGTCAAATCCAAGACCATGCGCAATCTCATGTGCAGTTAAGCGAATATACTGTCGTGTTGCTTTTATCTCATCTGGGATAAAGCTGATGACAGCAGACGTTGGTCGGTTTTCTTCATCCCTGGTGCAAATCTCAACATTTTCCGGTTTAGCTGAAAGAGCCACGTAAATCATAAAATCGACATCAACACTATACTGCATCTGTTGCCCCAATGGGTCCTTAATGAGCCTGCACTTTTCTGGAAGAGAATCAAGACCTGCGATTCTGGGATTTAGACTTTTTTCTTCCCGTTTCACTTTAAGGCGATCCGTGTGCAATTTGATGGCTTTAGGCAAGATATCCTTAAAAAGAGTATCCTTTATTTGCGTTGTCATTTTTTTATGATCATCTCTCTCGCAGAAATCGTTAAACACTCCAAATTCTTCTTCTTCGTCTTCATCATCTAAATGTTTTGTTCGTTCGCAATAGCTTATGATTTCCTCTACAAGTCTTGTATACACGCCAATGCGAATGGGCTTCCAATCCTCGCCATTCTTATCATCACTAGCAGGAACAGAGACGGTGTATGCCTGTAGAGCACTTTCTCCTTTTTGTGGTAACTGCTGTACAACAGCAGCCAAACACCCGCAGCTGCAGTACAACAGGAACAGTGCAGCCCACAGCAGGTGACGCATGGAGTGTTTCTCCATTTCTTAATAGCGTGAGTGGTGTGAGTGTGTGTGTGTGTGTGTGTTGCTTTGCTAAGGTACACACAGTAAAGAGAAAAAAGAAGAAAAGGGAGAGAATGAAAGATAAGCATGAAGAGATATTTTATAGGATCTAACAGATAATTAAACACATGTATACACATCAACAGTAATACTCTTAGAAAAAGAAGAATGATAGTTAAGCCAAAAGTAGAATGAGAAAAGATATCAATATACCCTCTTGTGATACACATACATACCAACAGTATCAACATCAATGCACTGTGAGGAGACTTGGTGTTTTATGGTAATTGTAAGAAATGCAGAGAATAATAAATAGTCAAAATAATGAGTGCTGTACTGCCTTTAAACAAGTGAAAAAGATAGAAAGAATCCATGGAAAGAGTGAATGATACCATGTGTTCAGATCTGTCCTTTGCATTGGAAAAAGACTGTGCAACTCATGCTTGACTAACCCATCAACTCCACTTGATGATAATTTATTTTTTCTTTTGCCCATCCATGTCAGGAGTAGAAGGGCATAATAATAACAGAAACTCATACACATCAGAAGAGCCATAAAATAATAGAGGAGGGGATTACATGAAATATTCCATCAGCTACAAAAACACTCCTGTACTAATTACCATAACCACAACACATACACAGAACACTACCTATAAGAGCACTACTCACATTTCCAAGAGAAAGTAACATGTACAACACAGTGCTCAGTGATTCACTCCCTGTAGTTATTGTTTTTCTCTTTCCCTCCGGTAGAATAGCAGTAATCCTATGCATATGGCGTTGTGTACGCCTCCTATTAATACCCTTTCAGTAGGAATGTTTTTCCTTTCACCACAACAGAGACATTAATATCCACTTCTGTTGTAGTTATCAATAGAAGGCGTAGAACACCTCTGCGCAGAGAAATAGCGTTGCAATGTATCCCCCAAAGAGAGAGAGATTTGTTTCATTCCATTCTATCAAAATGTATTCCAACAGTTATTCAGTTATTCTGTTTTTTCCCCCTTTTTACTTTTTGTTACCATTGATGGGTGGCAGGGGCCCCGCGCCAACGCCGCTCAGAAAAAAAAAAAAAAAAACCCCGAGGGACCGCCAAACCTAGAAACAACGCAGACGCCCCCGCCCGGGCCCCGGAAACGCCAGGAAACCGTTTTTTCACGCGGCGGGGTTCCGGGTTTTTTTCTTTTTTTCGTCTTTGCCACTTGGACCGCTCGGTGGAAACGGGGTTTCCGGCGGGTTTCGGCGTTCGCCCCGGGGACGGCAAACGAAGCGGGGAAAATTACCCCGGCGGAAAGATAATTTTCTCGCGGCGGGCGGGAGGGGGCGTCCCGAACCCATTCCCTTTTTTTTTTTTCCGGTGCGTGGATGGTTTGTTGCTGTTTTTGGGTTTTTTTTTATTTTTTTTGAAGTTCTTTTCTTTGTTTTTAATGATATCCAACACAAATGTTACTAGAACCGGAATGTCCAGAATAAACAGAACAAAACCGTTTCTTCCTTTGTTGTCGTTTTTTTTTTTTTTTTTATCTCTGAAGGCTTATGATGGCCTGATCCAATCCAAATGTATATTCGTTTAAGAAACGGATGATTTCTCAACCTGTCTGTCGTGTTTTTTTTTTGTGTTGGGCTCTCTTGGGTTGTCTCTAATTCAGAGTAGGGAAAGGAAAAGGAGTTAACAAAGGTGAATTCTCTTAAACCACTTTTTTTTATTGTTTTCTGTATTTGATACTTTTTACCCAACACTTTGTTTTGAGATATCTTGACATAAATCTGTGGATGTATGTATACATACATATTTTGAGAGTTTTTTTTTTTTTTTTATGTGAAACGCTCTCCTTGTTAAATCTCCTAGACTGTTTTTTTTTGTTGTTGAAGTGGGTTTAACTGATTTGGGATTTCTTTCATCTGTTTGTTATTGTTCTTGTTATTTTTTTTCTTTTTCTCTTTTGGCCACGTTTCTTTTTTTTTTTCTTTTTCGCTTTTTTTTTTTTCTTATATTTTATGTTTTCCTAGGTTGGTTTCGTTTTTATCGACATAGCTGAGTTTATTATAATGCTTCGTAGTAGTTTGCGCTGCTTGACTCCAAGTCTTCGAGACCTTATTCATCGTCTGGACTCTTTTGAGAAGGAAATTATTGAGCTAAAGGCATTTCGACAGGCTGTGGAAACGTCATCACCAGATGTTGCTGCGGCTGCCGAAGCTCTAGCGAAAGAACGTCGGAAGGCTAAACCACAAATTGATGTTGTCTTGGAAAATCCATTGACAGCGGGGGAGTTTGTGGAACTGAATCAATTTTATGCACTTCAGATAATGCAGAGTTTGCCGTTGGGAAATATGGTTCATATACGGACTTTTGAAGATCTTTGTGCTCATGCCAAACTTGTACATCGAGAATATCTTGTTCGTGTGGCTCAGCGAGCTCGTGCTCTTACCCATGCCCCTGTTGGATTATCTCAAATGCCCTCTATTCAGGAATTACGTCGCTGGTATGAGTGGAGTTTTCATGATGTTAAAAGTACAAGTCCTCCTGTTGATAGGCAAAGTGCATTAAATTTCGATACCCTTATTCGTCGTGTATTTTTAAGGCACTATAATGTAAGTGCACTTTTGACGGACGCAATGTATGAACTTGGTGAGCGTGAAAGGTGGACTGAACGAAGTTTCTCAGATAAATCGCTTGCCGATACTTTTGAGGAATTACAAGAGTTTTTTCATGGTTTTTGTATGGGACGTGTTCGATTACGGTTTCTTGTGGGTAATTATATGTATTTATCAACACGTATTTTGGACGTGGAACCAAAGGATTCCGAAAAACTTACTGTACCTTTATTTTTTGATCATGATCCTGAAAAATTTGCTGGTCAAATATGTCGGGAGTGCTCATTAACCCAATTACTTAAATGTGCAATTCGTTCTGCAAGGGATATATATGATGAAGCGGATATTGAACTTCGTATTGCAGGTGATGAATCTCTTACTTTTGTTGGTATTCCTTATATTTTGTATGATATTTTGTCTGCTATGATTGATGATGCCATTCAGGCAAACCTTCTTCGACAAGAAACGTTTGGGGTGGCATGTACTCCTGTTGTAATTACTCTCGCTCAGCAAGAAGGTAATGAGCGGTTTTGTGTCCGAGTTTCTGATACTGCGGGTGGTATGCCACTTGGGAAAGCAGAGCATGTTTTGAGGTACTGGTCTTTTTATAAAACAGAAGAAAAAGAGCCAAAATTATCTAGTACTTGGATTCACAGTCCTATACGAATGCCTTATGCGTATTGTGCTGCACAGACAATTGGTGGTGATATTTCTGTCTTCTCCATTGAAGGCTATGGTACTGATAGAATTTTGTATCTCCCTTCCACAGGGGTTCAGAATATACATATTTAGACAATCATTTAAGTCAGATTGTTATTGTATGGTTTCTTCTGTTTTGTTACGTGACGATAGAAAGAATCAAATGAAACCGAGACAAATAGGATTTTTAAATGTTCTCTACCTCTTTCCTCCTTCCCTCCCTTTTCTCTTATTCTTACTATTTCACTGTCTCTCTGTATTCCTCTTTTTTCCCTCTTCCTCTCTTCCTCTTTTTCTTTCTCTCACTCTTGATTTTATTTCTTTTTTTGTCTTTTTTTTTTTTACTGTTGTTTTTTTTTTTCTTATTTTAAACCATTTTTAATATAGAATGTCTTCCACTGCTGTTGGTGGGAAAATTGAATTTACTCCTCATCGCGAAATAGCCCATGTTCGTCAGGATTTGTCTGTGACGAAAGAAATTTTGGCCATTGTAAAAGATGAAAATGAGCGCCTTCGTTCTCTTGCTGAGGAGCGAACATTAGAAATTACGCGATTGGGTGAGGAATTAGAAGAATCAAGGCGTGTATTTCTAGATCAAAAACGTTTACTGGAGTCGGAGAACGCCCGACTTAAAACTAACTTGGCTTCTATCGAGGAGGAACTTGCAGAGTCTCTTGCGGAGCGTAAACGTCTTTCAGATCTTATTCATGGTGTAAAAGGACAAGTAGATGGGAGACTGACTAAATTAATTGAAGAACTTCAACAGAAAGACGAGTCAATTCATAGATTAGAATATCAGAATAGAGAGTATGAGCGTGATATTGAAAGGCTTAACCGTGTGGTAAAATCAGAGGATGCTTTGGCTTCTGAGTTGGAAGCTATACAAGGAAAGTACTCTGCCGCATCATCTGAGGTCTTAATTCTTCAGGAGCAGGTGGATCGGTATCAGCATGAATTATCCTCACTTCGTGAAAAAACTCAGCAGTTGTCTGATAGTGGAATTGGTGACGGCTCACAAGTTAGTCGTTTGCGGGAAGTTCTTTCCTTATTTCCTCTGTATCGACAATGGCTTTCCGATGTTGATGTTTCGCTGAGGGGAATTGAGGATCAATTAGAAATCTCCTTGAACAATAGTATTGATTCCCTTGCACTTGTGACAAATCCGGGGGTTCCTTATAAACCTCCAAGTTTGGAGAGGCAAAGATTAGCCATAATGAAAAAGTTTGAGCGAGACCAAAAAAAGAATGAACTAGTTATGTATCCTGAAGTTTGCGACTCATATGAAGAGTCTCTGGCTTTTTCTGTGCATGCAATTCGAAATACATGGGACTCTTCAAGGCACTCTCTTGAAAAGGTTGGATTATTGTCAAAACAGCTTTTAGAAACAATGGAAGAGGTTCTACGGGTTTCTGGGGATTTACATGCCAAAACGCTGTCTCCACAGCAACCAGTTGAATTGGAAATTTCAAAAAAAAGTTCTGTTGAATGTGATCAATTTGCTCTTGTTGAATCTGTAAAGCAAGATTTTCAGTTTCAGTTACGTTCTCGTGAAGAGGAATTACGTAGAAAAGATACTGAGATAGCGAATTTAAAGTCATTAGTTTCTGTTTTAGAAGGTCAGAAAGAAGTACTTAATAGTGAACTTTTAAAGGCCAAAGAAGATTCACTAAATACTTCCATTGGTAGTGCAGCCAAAATATCGGAACTAGAATGTAGATTACGAGAAACTATTAGGTCATCTGAGGAAGTTTCTGCAAGAACTCTAACTGCAGTACAGCTAGAGCACGAAAAGGAGCAAAGAGATATTAGTGAGACCAATTTAAAATTAAAGAATGCGCTTGAGATTGAAACTACAAAAGTAGATGGTATGAAAAAAGTGCTTCTTGAAAGTAAACGACGACGAAATATCCTGGTGGAGGAAAATGCTACTATTCGAAAGCAATTACAGAGTTCGGAGGAACTTGTGAATTCACTGAAAGTGGAGTTACTCAGTGCCAAACGAACTATTGAGTTGCTTCAGGCTGAGCTTCACTTTGCTGAATCACGTGAACGGAGGTCATCACCCACGTCTTCAAGAACGTTTCATATGTTTAAAAAGGTGATTCAGCGTGATCCTACCAATACGAAGACCATGTTTTTGTCTAAACCTTTATGATTACTTGTGTCTGTTTATTTTGAATTTGCATATACACTATCGTCGTGTCTAACTATCTATCTCTCTCTCTATATATATATATATTTCTTTGAAAATCTAGTTGTGTTATTCCTTTGATTTTCTTTTCCCATGTTTTTTTTTTTTTTTCTTAGTTATAAGAAGAAGAACGCAAGAGAAATGATGCAATATCGAGGTGGATGTTGAACGTTCAAATTGCCATACTTGGGTCTTGAGTGGTTGTGAAAGCAAGAGTATAAGAAAGAGGAAGTTAATACAGCTTTTTTCCCCCCTCTTCTTTCTCTCTCTCTCTCTCTCTCAGAGACACTCTTTATATATATATGTATATATATTCAGTAGAACAGCAAGAACTGAATTGCGACAGGCACAAATTCAACTTTGGCATCGTATGCTTCTCTTTGTGTAGGCTGGTTCTTTCCCAAAAAAACCTTTTTCACGACTAACGGTATCGATTTCCCTCCCTTTTTTTTTCTGGGGTTACCACTGTTTGATGTCCCGTACAAGTGATGCTTTGAATTATTCTCTATTTATATGAGATATGCCACTGAAAGCATACTTTATTACTCGTTTTCTTTTAATATGTGAAATGTGGCACATACTCTCTCAGAAAAGCAAAGACAAAGGTACTTTTTTTATTTACTCTTGTACATTTTTGGCGTACTTGTGGACACAGCTTCTTTTTTCTTCACAAATGTATTGTCGCAAACACATTTTTCATGAGTTCTTGCATAAGGAATGATCCAGCATTCTCTCTCTCTCTCTCTGTGTGTGTGTCTGGTAAAAGAAAAAAAAAGAAAAACATAATACATGGTATTTTTTTTTTTTTTTTCTGTAATTGTACGGTTCTTTGTAAAGCATAGATGTTTGAGAGGCCACCCAAAGCCTTCCCCATTGCACTGCACGGGATGCAGGCTAAATTAATTTTTTAGCTCCGTCTTGGATGCACTGCAATGATCGACTTTAATACATTTCTCAGTGAATAGAATGACGTAGGGGAAAAAAAAAAATAGATTGCTTTCTTTTTCTTCTCTTCTTTCTATTAGAGAAAAGCAAGTTGAACTCTCTTTACTCTGTTTTTTAAAGTTTTTTTCTGGATTCGGTCGATGCAATGAATGAAAGAGATACCAATGAGCTAAAAAGGGGTGGAGGCTACCTCAAAGAAAAAGCAATTATTGGATTAAGCATTGTTACAGGTGACGAGTTGGATCGGGCTATAATGAAAACAACAAGTCATATGCTGAAAGCTCCCAAAGAGAAGCATATGCAAAGACTATTGGCAGCAACATATGGACACTATAAAAGTAATTCTCGTGACGGGAAGAGTATTTGCGACTATATAGTATCAGAGCTGGAAAAACGACTGCACACGCATAATTGGATTGTAGTGCTTAAGGCGCTGGTAACGCTGCATCGTCTAATGACGGATGGTTCTAATGAGTTGATCGATTCTATACAACGAAACCGTAGTTTATTTTGCGCACGAAATACAAAAGATCTATCTGAAAACGTTGAAGGATCTATTCAAAGTGCATTTATCCGTCAATATTTTCGTTACCTTGAAGAGCGTGCATCTTCGCAGCAATCAATTGGTAATACAAATCGTATAGAAAGTGTGGAATTCAGCTCGTATCTTCGCTCTCTAGATGTTGATTCTCTTGCACCCATTTTTCAGGTATTATTAACACAGCTTGCTTCTCTTCTTGAAATTGATTATAGGGAAACTATAGTGGATAATTTTTGTACATTGGAAGCATACCAGAAGCTCGTGGATGATGGTAAAATATTGTACCAGCTCTTATCAGACAGAATAATATTCATACTTGATGGATTCAGTGACTTTCCACTTGAGAAAAAGAAATATTGGCTGCAACTTTACAAAGAATACAATATAATTGCTGAGAGACTACGATTCTTTTATAATTCAATACTTGATTCTTCCAAGGTATTTGCTCAACCACCGCCACGATTAAAACCTCTTCCTGCTTCTTTGCTAGAACAACTGGAAGATGATGTTCGAATGAGTAATATTGCTTGTGAAGATGTAACTGAAACTTTGGAAAGTTTGGGAATAACAAGAGGTGAAGAAAAAGAAGAAGTTCCATCAAAAGAAGTGGCTAAACGTCCTCCTTCTCCATTGTCTCCTAAAACTACTGAAGTTGCTTCTGGTGTGGAACAAACTTCATTACCCCTTACAGCTGTTGAAAATAAATGTCCTACATTCTCAATGGATGATCTTTTTGTAGGTCCTTCTGTGCCAATTCCGAGCGAGACAGTTCCTTGTGCACCAACAAATGCTTTGTTTAATGACCCACAACAATTATTCATGAATACAAATCAAGGTATTAACCAAATGATGCCAGCTCCTGTGAATAACCAAGCTCCAGTATACGGGACACTTGATGATGGGTGGTCAACGGGGGCTCCAGTCTCATATGAAGGTATTCCATCGGTGCAACCCCAACTGCCACCTCAAGTAACTATGACAACCAATTTTGAGTGGGGAGGAAACAATTCTTCAGTAAATCAAGAAACCCCTGAAAAAAAGAAAGATGATGCTTTTAAAGACCTTTATGTTGAAGGACAAAAAGGTTGGTATTCAAAGGATAAGTAAAAGTTTTACGGCATTTTTGTCCTTAATGGTTATAAAAAGATGTTCCGTAAATAGTATTATGCGCCATAATAGTGGAGATGGAAAGAATGATTTTATTTATTTATTTTTTGTACTACTTTCTTTTCTTCCCACTTTTACCTTGTTCCCTTTAGTTAATTATTTATCCATTGTTGTTATTTTAGTTATCCCAACTCTCTCTTTCTACTTGAGAAATACATACAGGTTTACATATTAATTATTTTATTAAAACTAGTGGATTCATGGTACTAAAAGAATTTTGTGCTGAGGGTTATAATCGGGTGCCAGAAGCCATAAATGCTGGTGCTAAGCGAATAGAACTCTGTGCCCGCTTGGAGGTTGGTGGCGTTACACCATCTACTGAAACAATAAAAAAAACTGTTGATTATTGTCATTCTAGAGGAATTCCAGTGATGGTAATTATACGTTGTAGAGAGGGGAACTTCTGTTATAACGACGCAGAGTTTCAGAAAATGAAAGAAAGTGTGGATCTCGCTAAAAGTTTAAAAGCAGATGGTGTTGTTTTAGGCGCTTTAGATGCCTCTGGAAATGTGGATGAGAGAATATCTTTGTTGTTGTCTTCAGCGGAAGGGATGTCACTGACGTTTCACATGGCATTTGATGAAGTTCCCAGAGAGAAACAGTTTGAGGTTATTGATATCTTGTGTAAGTATAAGTTTCATCGTATTCTTACTCATGGCGGTCCTTCAAGTTCCAAGATTGAAGATAATCTGGATAGATTGGCGGAGTTGGTTGCATATGCAGGAGGAAGAATTTCTATTATGCCGGGTGGCGGTGTTACGAGTGTGAATGCCAAGGCAATTGTCGATCGTCTTGGTGTTACAGAGGTTCATGGAACTCGTATTGTGTCACTTCTTTGACATTGAAACATATCTGATGGAATAAATGGATAGGCTGTCCTTATTATTATTATTATTATTATTATTATTTTTGATAGCTTGCGAAAAGAGTGGTCGAGACCTACGTTATTATCTAACAAATGGTGTGCGGGGATTTAACGTTTAGTAAAATTATTATTTTTCTTTCATTCTTGCAGTCTACCAAATGTTAGTTTTGGGATGTCCACCCAACCTAACTCAACTCAACTCTCACTGTCCCAAGAGGGAGGCAAGTTAAAGAGGCTTCTCAGCACTTCCATTTCGTCAGTTATGTTTTTTTATTAGATAACAACCATCGGTGGAAAATATCGGGATGTGTTTTTGTTAAATACAGGTAATACGGGGTTTGTTATGATAATGTAAAACATTATTTTCTTTTTCTGTTTTTCTCCTCTTTATGAAGGAGAAAGTAAGACTTAGATTATTCCTTTGGATTTTTGTATTTCTCTAGTGTTTGACTTTGTACATGTATGGTGATTTCATTTTGATCGTTTTTTTTTTTTATTTGAATTGTTTAAAAAAATAATTATTTCTCTTGTCTTATCACTATTTTCCCATTACTTATTCCCCAGAAGAGGAAAGGAACCTATCATGCGATCCCTTCGATTTCATAGCTTTACTACCGTTGTTGGTTTGGCACGGCTACAATCTAGCGGGGGTAATGGACGGTATCCTCCTCGTGAACAACAACAACAACAACATCAACGGTTTGGCAGGCCTCGTGATGGTCGTCCTACGAGAGGCGGTCATTCACAGTCTTTTTCCCAAGGTGGTCCCCGAAATACGTTAAACGAACCTCAATTGGTGGCAAGACTCCTTGAGCTTTATCCAAGTGGTAAATCTTGGTTCCCTGTAAACAAGTGGGCATCTTCTATACCCGAGGATATTCAAGAAGCCTTGGTACCATATGGTGGTTTGGCGCATTTTGCAGTATCGCAGAGTAATTTTTTCATTGTACGCAAGGAGAATGGAACGCCAGTTGTCTCACTATCTACGATGGCTTCTTCATTGTGTGCAGAACGGGAAAAGAATATTAAGAAACGTGCGGAGAAAGCCGCTGCGTTTTCGTCGCGTCGTCAAGATGATTCAAGATTTCAGAGGTGATACAAATCGTACCTTTTTTTTTGTAGAAAAAAGATCGTTATTCTTTTATTTTTGTAGTGCAAACATGTGTTTTTTTTTTTTTTCTTTCTTTCACTGATAAAACAAAATATATGTACGTATGTATATATTATTAATATATTTTTTTTTTGCTTTTTTCCCTTTTTTTTCTTCTTTTCAACATCAAAAGGCAGGGTTTTTAGCCATGGTTCACTACTCCCGCAAGCCCCAGGTGTCGTCAAAGAGCGCAAAGGCGAAGGTCAGTGATCTTCGTTGCCACTACAAGAACACATTTGAGACTGCCAATGTGATCAATGGCATGCCTCTTCGCAAGGCACAACAACTCTACCGCCAAGTTCTTGCCAAGACCCGTTGCATTCCCTTCAAGCGCTACAATGGTAAGACCGGACGCACCGGACAGGCGAAGGAATGGGGCCAGACAAAGGGCCGCTGGCCACGCAAGTCGGTTGTGGCGATGCTCTCGCTGCTGAAGAACGCAGAGGCGAACGCCATTGAGAAGGGTCTTGACCCTAACAAGATGGTGATTAAGCACGTGCAGGTGGATCAGGCCGCCCGCATGCGTCGCCGCACGTTCCGTGCTCATGGTCGTATTACACCGTACATGTGCAGTCCATGCCACGTACAACTGTTCATGACCCAGCCTCAGGAGCGCATTCCTGTGCCGAAGAGTCAGCCAAAGAAGTAGTCTACCTGAAAACCTGTCCATGTGTTCTTTTTTTTTCTTTGGTTTTAATTTTCTTGTTTTTTTCTTAGAAAAACCTTGACGTCTTTTTTTTTTGTTTTTTTTTTTTGTTGTTGTTGTTGTTCTTCTTCTTCTTGTTATTGAGAAGAAACAAAAATAAGATCCTTTGGTATAATCTTTTTAGTAAATCTGCTGTGATTTTTCTTCTTTTCTCTGTTGGTGTTTTTTTTTTTGTTTTTTTTTTTTTTGTTGAAGGGAGATAGAAATGTTGGTTCCTACATTGCTTGTGCGTTGTGGACATGCATATCAGGTGACTGCTGATCGGAACCTAGTATCCCACCATCATCAACGTCTTATCAAGAATCAGTATTGGGAGTGCTCTAGTCCTTCACAATCTCTCGGTGTTTTGGCTGTTTTGGTGCGATCAGGCACGTTAGTAGAAAAACTAGATAAGGCTGCTTCAGGTGCTTTGAATGCAATGTCTCCCAGTATGACAAAAAATGAACAGGCTCTTTTGGGTAGGATGTCATCATTTCTAAACTTGACGGGGGTCGTTGATTCTGTATCAACTTTATCTGAGAAAGAAAAACCCTCTTTACCCAATTCAGTTTCTAGGAATGAAGTATTGGCATTGTATGAGCAGTTTGTAAGATATCAACAGAAAAAAAATTTCATGGAAATGAAACCTGTCGTCATTTTGAGTAGTCTAGTGCACGATTTAGACGCAATATCATCATTGATGTTTTTAGAAATGGTTATTACCACTTCGTTTCAAACCGATGCTCCCTGGCGTGATAAGGAAAATATTTCTGCCCTTCTCACCCGTCTTCGGTACCATATTATGTACAGTAAAATGATTCAGTTTAAAGCAGTTTGGTGGCTTCTTGACATTCTTAGTAATTCTGACTCCTTTTTGTTCCAGTACAAAGAAGAAAGTACACGTTTATTTAAAGCTTGTCTAAGACGTATTAACGAACTGCTTCCCCAACTTTCAGTTGGTGAGTGTCTCTTGGTTTTCCCCTTACTAGACACTTCAGTGTACGATAGGCCTTTCATAATTTGCGCAAGCATAATGAAGCGTCTTCTTGCATCTGATTTAAATGAATTTGTTGAAGTACCAAACTCTGTTATATTACGAGTTTTAGGATGTAAGGGTCTGAATTTGTCTGTCTTTCGGAAACTATGTCAAATTCTTCAGAAGGATTACCGTATAGGTGAATTTGTAAAAGAAGATTGTTTATTTCTTCTTTCAACCTTAGCAACTCGTTTCTCTACAGTCGAAATTGATGAAAACAATATGGATCATTTTTGTGAATCTTTTTTTGCTCAGCTTTACGTCAATGCGAAAATTATGAGCCCTGTTGAATGTGTGAGTGCCCTAGAATACTTGGAACGTATGAGCCTTTCGGGCTTTTTTATATTTCCTTCATCTGATCTCTTGGAACGACTGAAAAAGAAAACCTTTATCGGAATTGGTCAATCAATAAAACGGACTGATACAAGTCTGAAAGATATTGAAGTCAATATTGAAATAATGCGTCGTCTTGAAGGAGTTTTAAGAAGATGTGTTCTTCTTCCCTTTGTTTCTAGTGATGTGGTGAAAGTCAAGGAACTCATGGAAAAACTGACCCTTCAACGTAGACACATGGAAAGAAGTGCATCCTGAGTAAGAGCAATAAATCCATAGGATTGAAATGCGCATGGATACATACACACTATATATATATATATAT